GAATTTAATTACTTGATTATTATTGTTTTGGGCAAGTAATTATTTGATTGTTTACGTTGTTAAATAGGCTAGAAAACTCTACTTTAATAATTGGGCAAATAGTAGTTTGCACCCCACAAATATTAAAAATATTTAATTTGTATCCTCAAAGATCAATTGTTTCAAATTGCACCCTCAATTATATAAATTAGTAGCAATATGACCCCAATCATAATGTTTGTTGGGATTTTCATCAAATTGTTTATCACATTAGATGCATGAGATGACTTTTGTCAGATTATGACGCTTCTTCTATTCACGTACGTCTCACATGTTTTCAATCCAATAAAAATCGCCCTAGATGTTGATGGGTCAACCCCAAATGACACAATTTATTCGGAAAGTCTAATCTCAACTTAAGAGCCCAACCTTATAAACACCTACCAAAACCAATATGGTCCAAGTCTAGTCAAAATCATTAGCTTGACTACGTCATCAAGAGAGAGCATGGGAACCTTTCCTGCACCGCCGAAGAAAAAGTTCACTCTCACCTCATCCTTGACCGAATCTCATGGAGAGCGTCTCAACCACCTCGCCCGTTGAGAGGAAGTCATGAGCTCCACCGAAATAGTTGCTGTAAAGTAGCCCTAACCCGTTAGGGAGCCACTATAAATTGTACACCCCACCAACACTCGGGGGACATCATTACACTTTTACCCGAACACGACTTTCTCCTCTCCCTCAAGGCTTGTACTCTTAGCTCCCTACACCCTTGAGCTAATAAAGTGCCCGGCGACTAAAGTCATTCAAGAGTGAATGTAGATCACGTTGACCGAACCACTACAAATCTCGTCTCTTCCATTTCTCTTTACTTTAATTACTGCCTTTATTTTCATTCACTTGACAGGTGGTGTGCAAATCGATTTTGTGCATCATCAGTTTCGCATCGTCTGTAAAAAAATGAAAAAATTCTCACTTCTAAACATGTCATTTGTTGAACCAATGGTGATCACTACCAGTCCATGAACCAACCTGAAGACAATCTTCCACAAGACGAGGAGTTTGCTCCTCCACCTACCAACCTTGTCCCAAATGCTCCAGCTCTGAATCCTCAACCAATGTTGGAGACCATGCAGCAGTTGGTGGCCCAAAACCAGCAGATACTGTAACTTAGGCTCGCCGGACAAGGAGCACAACTTGAAGGGTCACAGCTTGGAGGACCTCAAGGAGCTTCACGCTCTGGACATCAAGGAGCTCCACACCCTGTTGCTCCACATCTAGGCACCCATACAGGTCTGCGCGCCCCTTAGGAGTCTCCTTGGGCGCCCCACACAAGGGAGCCCATTATGAGGGATTTCTACATCCTCCCCTTCTTACTTCCCATGGTGAAGACCTTCATCCCCAAGAGGATAAGGGCGAGAACCAAAGGATGGAGCATGAGAGTCATTCCCATGACCATTTCAGAGGAGCCCCCAATCATTGGGACAAGAAAATCAAGGAAGTGCAAAATCAACTAGGAAACGTCTTTAACGCCATGAAGACGCAGGGACCCAAGACAATGGACTACCTATAGTTCAAAATTACCCCCTGCCTCAAAAGTTCAAAATGTCATCCATAGAGAATTTTGATGGAACGAAGGATCTACTAGACCACTTCGACACCTACAAAACCCTGATGTAGCTGCACAATGTCCTAGACGAAATTATGTGCAGGGTGTTCCCAACCACCTTGAAGGGATCCGCACGGCAATGGTTCGCTAAACTCTCCCCATCCTCCATTGCCTCTTTTGCTGAGTTAAGCAGGTCGTTCGTGTCACATTTTATTGGAGGGTGTCGCCATTGGAAGCCAATCACCCATCTGCTTAGCATAAAACTGGACCAAAAGGAGAGTCTGAGGAGCTACCTCACTCGTTTTAACGAAGAGGTACTCCAGGTTGATGAGCCCGATAACAAAGTGATTATTACTGCCTTCTTGGGAGGGCTCTGCTCGTCAAACTTCCTTTCCTCAATGATGAAGCACCCACCAAAGAGTATGTCGGAGCTACTAGCAAAGGCCCAGAAATACATGAATGTTGAGAACATTACAAGGGTCAGGCAAGGTGAGTCCTCTAGAGTAGGGCAAAAGAGGAAGGAAAGAGAGAGGGACGACAAGAAGGAGACTAGCAACAAGCGCAGCAGAACAGAGAGGATTCCCGTCAAAGATCGACTAGGTCCTGCTCCTCAGAAGAACCGACAAGCCTTAACTCCCCTCAATGCCACTGTCGGGCACATCCTATTCCAGATTCAGGATGACTTCGCGATAAAATGGCGGGGGGAAGATGAAGTCTCCTCTAAATCATAGAAATCCTAACAAGTATTGTCGCTTCCACTACGATCACGGTCATGACACCGATGATTTCTATGACGTCAAAAGACAAATTGAGGAGCTCATCCAGTGCAGTCACCTACACCAGTATGTTGTTGGTAGGGAACGAGCACCACCACCTCACAATCAAGAAGATCAGCAACCCATTTGGGAGATCCACACTATCTCGGGAAGACTAGCAGAAGGTGGAGAATCACTCTCTACTATGAAGGCCTACGCCAAAAAGGCGAGACACTTCGACGAGTGGCGCTCATCCAAGGCGCCAAATTGTAAGAAGGTACACAAAATTAGAATTATTTGTCAAAAAGTGCATAACTCTTAATGTTAGGTCATTAAATTCTTATTTTTAGAACTTATTTGTCCAAGTACACAATTTGGCTTTTTGTAATTTTTTTTTTGACATATTTGTCCTTCCTTAAATCATTCATATTTCTTTTGACAGTTAATTAGATTTTTGATTTTGTTTTATTGTATTAAAAATTTTCTAATATAATGCAAGAATTATATTATCACAAGATTTTCATATAACGTTGATTGTGTATATCTCTGAATTTTAAATTTTTGTGTTATTACCGTTGATAGTAAATATATTTCTCTTCTTCTTCTCTAAATTATCAATCATTAACGTTCAAAAAAAATCAAAGCTATCATTCTTATTATTCTCCGACAAACACGAAAAACTCAATCATATCGTACTTCTTCTTCTACAACGTTTTATATATCATCAGGTTAAACTTATGTTTTCTTTCATTTTTTTTTTATTTTTTGTTCGTTCCATAGACTGCTCGATAGTTTTGGATTTTTTTTCTTCACTTTTTTCACATCCGTTTCTACTTATTATGTTGAGTGATCACTTTTTGGTTAATTTTTCATCTTTCAAATGATTATTTGTTAATTTTAATATTTTTGCGTTTTATGAATTTTTTTTACAGTTTTTTTTTTTAATATTGAATACTACAATAATGGTTGTTTGAATTCTAAATTGGGTATCATCTTCTTTTGTATGTTGTTTTTATGGTAGTTTATATGAGACTAACAGATGCTATGAAATTATAATTTAAAAATGTATCAATACAATGTGACACTAAAAGGTTTATCTATACTCTATACAACTAATAAAAGTATCTTAGCATGAGAATTTTTGATTTATTATTTTGCCCTTGTAAAAAACTATAAAGACTAACAAGTCCTTTTGTATTTAAATATATAAATTATTATTATATCCCTCTGTAAACAAATAACAAACTAATCTTTCTATCTTTGCAAAACTTTTGAATGGTTATATTATGCTTAACATGATATATAGCAATAAAATTATTTTTTTCCTAAAACCCCAATATTAATATACATCGACAACTTTATTAATACAATATCGTCTCCAATGTCCAAAAATTGTTGTATTTATCTTTTCTCTTCATTCACAATAAAAATAATTTGATAAAAATTTACCCAGACGCAAATTAAAAACAAGAAAGAAAAAAAGGATACAAAGTTGAGAAAAAAAAATTTAAAACCCATACTATTTGGTAGCTCGTATAAAAGAGACACAAAAAATGAGTCCATTAAATTTTTATAATTATGAAGAGAATACAAATAATTTAAGTATTATAAATATGAGATAATATCTAATTTAACTACGAATTAGATTTTTTAATGTATTTTATTAAATATTTCAACAAAAATTTTCAGGTGTAACGCACGTGATGCATTGTTAGAGTTAAAAAGAACTTAAAAGTCAAATGAATATAAAACATAAAAATTGGATGAAAGCAATTTGTGGGTATTATTGATTTTATAATAATAATTAAGAATAAAAAAAATTATAGGTGCCGACATTTATATTAGGAATAGGGTTAGTTTGTCTTATTATACTAGGAATAGGGTTAGTTTGCTTAATTATTATATATGATTGTAACTTCTGTTGACAAATTTAAATTTTTTTGAGTTTCTATTTTTAAAAGAAATTATGCCAAAACTTCTAAAAAATAGCAAAGACTAACTTAATTTTAATTTCTTATATTAAAGTAAGTGAATTAAAAATTATTTTAAATTTATAATTTATTTTAGATTGTAAAATATCTTTAGACAATAATATGGTAACTTTATTACATCATTCAGAATCTGACAAAGATGTGACCAAATGCGAAGATAAAAATCAAGCACCGGTAAAACAACAAAAATAAAAAGTGGAAAGCACATAAGATAAGTTAAACTTGTACTGTTCAGGAAAAAAAAAGCGTGCCCCATTCTTTATCTACTTTCCACGTGTCAACATGGCAAGCAAATAATAAATTACACCCTTATCACTTTATCTCGCAATTGGCCTTGTGTGGTACAATAAAAAAAAATGAAACAGTTAAAAGGATGTAAAATTAAATAAAAAAATATTATATTTGATAAAAAAAAAATTGAAGGATAAAAAAATTGATAAATAAACTTTTTTTTCGATTCATTAAAATCAATCTTTTCAAAATTGAGCTAAAAAGGAAGAATTATATTATATGTTCCCACTATATGTGTATGTGTGTTGATTTTTTATTTAAAAATCAAATAAAAAAATAGATTTATTACTTTGTAATTTGTGCTGTTAAAAATCAAATGCTTTGCTTGGTGGTGCTGCTGCTTCTGATGCAGCACTTGACTTAAGTGGTGAGCAAATGCAAGTAACCGATTACTACTATATAGAATGGCCTTTGTTTCGCCCTACAACGGGAGCCACACTATTCAGAGCTGGAAACGAAACATGCCCACTTGATGTGGCCCCAGTGCCACTCAATGGCATCCCAGCGAGGATTTCACCTGTGAACTCCGACGATGGCGTGATCCGTGAATCCACTGATCTCAACATCAAATTCGTTTTCGTATCACCATGTGCTCAGTCTGTTGTGTGGAAGGTTCAGTACGATGAAGAGTCTGAAAAATATTTTGTGAGAGTTGGTGGAGTAGAGGGAAACCCTGGCTGTGAAACCATAACCAATTGGTTTAAGATTGAAAAACTTGGAGATTACTACAAGCTTGTTTTCTGTCCAAGTGTCTGTAACAATCATTATTGCAACGTCATTTGTAAAGATGTTGGCCTGGATTCCGAGGGTCGCTTCGTTCTAAGCGATACACCATACCAGGTCGGGTTCAGAAAGTTCGAATTTTTGAAATCAAAGATCAACTACCAGTACTAATAACCAATGCAACATGCAAATTATTGTGTGTATGTATTGTAATAATAAGGAAGCTTTCTTCCCTTCCAATGGTATTGCAATAAAACTTGTTCGATGATGTTATTGTGACTCTAACCGGTTAAAACTTTTTCATTGAACTTCGTCACTTGATACATGTTATTATGTTAAAATAGGTCATTTTTAAAAATCCTAATAGTATTACTCGAAATAAATTTTTAGGTCTCCCCTTTTTTCAGATCGATGCTTAATTAAACACCCGGAATGTATTTAAAATATTTTATAGTTTCTGAGCGCAACTAAGGTTGGTAAATACATTCAAAGCAAAATTACGCAAAACTAAATTATACATATGATCCAAATTATGATAAGAGTGTAGATAATAGAACTAGAGTTATCAGAGGCAGACCGGACCAGTTGGACTATGAACCGGGACCTAAAACAGTCCAGTTCTTGAGTCGGACTGCATAGGTATAGGAATCGTCTTTCAACTGTTAAACCGGCTGATTTTTTATGAAAACCGGTGAACTGGACAGGTTCTAAAAATCGGACGATTGAGGTCTCACTCTTTTGGCTCTTTACTCCAGCCTCTAAAGTTCAAGCCTTCCTTCTCCCAGCACAACTCTCAGTAGACAATAACAAGAAGATCCAGGCAAGGCAACGTCAGAAATCTTGTAACGAGTTCCTTCTCCAAACTACGATGACATCTTTCATTTCTCTTTGTTAAGTCCTCTTTCTCTCTCTCTGAAATGTGAGGGACTTTATTTCGGGACCTAATGATATACAATCATTGGATTAGTTGTGGACTCTATCTAATATTGGAACTCACAACTAATCCAATAATTAAATTGAAGCTACATCATTAAGTCCTTAGATAAAATCCCCAAATAAGGTCCAAATAGCATTTCCCTAAGACAAATGGTCCTTTCACATTCTTAAAATAAAAGCTCTTTCCTTTCTATTCCGTGGTATTGATTGTCCTTTACTACTTTCTCTCTCTCGCTTTCTCAATCACACATTTATGTTCTTTATTCTTTGAATTTTAAGAATATATTATTTTTAGTTAAATTATTATATTTTATAATTTTTTTATTTTTTATTATACGACGGGTCCAACTAGTTGACCGAACGATTGAACTAGTGAATCATTGATCCAATCCCTTTACCGGTTTGATATCTGATCTGATTCTGATAACATTTAACAGAACCATAAATATTTTCGATGAAATTAGAAAATCATCTCGATAGACTTGTTAATTGTGATTTGTTGTATTACTCATTCAATTTCTGAATCACAATAAGTATAATAACATATACACATCTCAATAGTCTTTGCATGTGAACCTCAACCAAGGTGTATGAAGAGGGTAGATGCACTAAAAGGATAATTGGTTTAAGGTTGAAAATTTTGAAGATCACTACAAACATTTTTTGGGTCCAAAAGTGTGTAATATTTTTGTCCTACTATAACAATTTTATGTGGGGTAAGAGAGTGATATACTATTGCATACATTTTTTTTAAAACAAATTCTCCTTAGTGGATCATCATGAATTCAAGTAAGTCTCAAAATAATAAATGGTGTAACTTGATTTTAAGAATGAAATAAATCAGCCCACTCGATATAAAATTGACATGAAATTTGTGAACAGAAGAGAAGATGAGATCAACTTTTCACGTGTCAACATACGAAGAGAATCTAGATCCTTGTTCTACCGACAAATATGAAGAGGGTAGGTGCGCTAAAAGGATATAAAAAAAAAGTGCATGTGTAATTACTGATACAAAAAATCATTTGTTGAGGCAAATACCCTTTTCATTGCCCAGATGGTTTTTAACATTGGTGAATGAGAGCTGGCTGGATACTTCCCTAGTGCCATGGAGTTCCTATCATGTGCTGTCGAAGAAGGGATGGAAGCACAAATAAAGGACACACTTGGATTCCCTGCTGGAGATTTACCTATGAAGCAGGGGCAAAGCTAAAAAATTATTTTTGGGTGGGAACTAAATACTTTAACAAATTTTAAATTTTTTCTCTCGCAGTGGATAAAAGTAATATGATACATTTATGTTTAATTACATCATATTCGATATTCAAAAGTCTACTAAATATAAGGCCAAAAATTGATAAACATACTATACATAATCGAAAAATAACATAAAAAGACTAATTACAAGCTCTTATAATAAATGAAATTATAATGGTCCTGACGAGTTTTCATGTTTTGGAAGTAGAGTGTTAGAGTCACTATTGTTACTTGTTCTTCTTCCTGTGTTTCTCATTTCTCCTCGCCACTATGTACCGAAGTGATGGTTGTGTGGTGAGCCCCAAGGGTGTTGATAAGATGATGAGAGACAATAGTTCTTTCTCATATAGGTTTAGGTTATGGGTGGGCACCACTGAAGTTATATTAAAAAATATGCATAACATATAGGTGATACTAAAAATCATGGTGGGCCAATACCCCTCCTGAGCTAGTACGGGCTCCGCCCTTGCTATCTAGTACCTTGGAGTGCCACGGGTATCTACCAAGTTTATTAAAAGCCCAACACTACATGAGCCTCATTGAAAAAGTTGAAACCAAAGTAAAGTCCACAATTGATAATCTTACTGCTCAGTATGCATGTATTTTTTGTTGGGCTATCCACTTGAGTGTACCATAGAAAGTATTGGATAAACTCGAACAAATTTTGAGGGCTTTCATTTGGAAGGGCATTGAACATAGATATAATAGGGCTAAGGTTGCTTGGAAGGATGTTTTCAAGCCTAAAAGGTAATGGAGGTCATAGAGGAAATTTTCAACTCTATGCCACCTTAATTACCTGACTAGACCAAGAAGATATTGTCAAATGGACTCTAACTGCATATGGGCAGGTCATACCTAGAATGACCTTATGGTTAGCCATGAAAATGAGTTTGAGCACCAAAGATGGAGCCCAGGTGTTCTCAAGTCAAGTTGACACTCAACTCAATGTACGTTGTGATTTTAGTTATAGGTTAACAATAATGTTACATTGATCAAATTTTAGAATTAAATTTAGAGTTTAAATGACATGACAGCATATTATTTGGAGTTTTTATTGGGGTCCAAAGACCTGGCACTAATAAAGAAGTTCAAATCCACTGTCATGTCATTTATACTCCAAATTTAATCCCAAAATTTCTTCAGGATTGGCCAATTCTACCATCCTTACAATAGTGCCATGTCGTATGATCCCCCTCGGCTCTCATTGGTCCACATCAGCACAATGGTGAATTGGACCAATCAATTGTTGGAACACCACAAGCAAGCATGAACTTGAAGACAGCATATGGAATTTTTTCTGTCACTTAACAATTCAGGCTGATTAATTTTGTGGGTTTGATTGAAGAGCTCTCAAAAGTTTAATCTAAATAATATGGACGGACAATAAATTCAAACGTCTGGAATTCGAATTTTGATAATTTTTTTGAGTTAAGTAATACGAAATTTATTTATTATAAATACACTAATCCCTGCATGGCGGTGGTAGGGGTAGTTGTGGTGGTGGTGGGGCAGTGAGAGTGGGGGTGGTGGGAACGGTGATGGTGGAACGGTTTCAAACATTACTTTTTTTTAAAATAGTTATAAGAAATTATAAATATTAAAAACACTTTTAAAAAGTCCTTTGATGGGACTCTTCTGAAAAGCATATGATGAAGACACGTGTCCTCGGGGGGGGTTTTTTAGAACAATGTTGCTCGGTTTCGAGCACCATCGGCAAGGCGTCCTCTCCCCCGAGGTACCTCTCATATAGGATCACATATTCGGTGCATAATACAAAGACACGTGTCCTCGATCACTGTGTATCTCGGAACTAACACCTCGGTCCCCGAGGTGAGCCTTCCCTCGGTGCCGAGGGTCACTCCATCCTGGACGCTTCCTCTACTTCCGGATAAAGCTACTGACGTACGGGACATCAGCCTATGCCAGTCTAGACTATTCATCATGACCTCGTTTTACACAAGTAATGTCAGAACATGCTGGAATACAGAAGTCATAGCCAATACGCGACGGACGCGTGGCATACGATATCACATCAATAACAGGCAAACCGCATGACGTCGCTGACACGCGACTTGGGAAAGCAAACAAATTAATTGCACCCTTCTGTTGACGAGACCGCATTCAATGCGGTAAGGTTCGGATATGAAAGGCAATAAATGCTCCTATTACAGAGCATTTATTGCATCCTTCCCGAAAGGAGCATATTGTACCGTCGGCGTCCCGACAACTCACCATTGATTGCTCGGGACCCCGAGCAGTCAATTAGAGAAGACATTCCTCATCAAAATGATTACACACGCTACCTGTGCCTGATGATCACCTACTGACCACACTGACAGCAATCATGATCTTCTAAGGTATAAATACCCCTCCCAAAAGACAAAGCGGGTATGCAATCTCAAACTCTCAACTACGAAATATCCTTCTCAGTGTTTTCTCCTTCCTCTCTCTCATTCAAAGACTGACTAGACCGTCGGAGGGGATACGCCGGAAAACACTCCGGCGCCCTTCTAACTTGTTCTCATTTGTTCCAGGAAATACCTTTCACACGTACAGGATCGTTCCTCCTTTCCCAGGATCTCCCTTTGCCGTTCCAGGTTGCCACCGTACCTCGAAGGTTGTTTCAAGTAGCGTGTTTGGCCACTCAACCGGCTCACTCAGAGTTCACCAGGGGAGAGATCTGTTCCCAATATTTTATATATCGTGCAGGATCGAGCCCGCACAGAAATTAAGGATGATGTATATGTATGGCGGAGACAACCAGGTCCTGAATGAGACCCAGAGACTCGGAAGAGTAGACACCACCATCGCCGCCGTGTATGGAATCACCGCCGCCTTGACTAAAAGGAAGGTGGAGATGATTCCGGCGAACATAAGGAGGAGCTCAATCGTCCATATCGCAATCTGCACTCTGCTTTTGGGCATTGAACTTCCCCGTAATAGATTTTCCATGAATATTTGAGAGAAGAGAGGGGGGGGGGGAGGGAAGAAAGATTGAACTGAGACTCAGAAAACAATGCTATTCCTATTAAAAAAACAAGAATATGCAATGAAAATGCAGAACAAAGAGAAGGTGATAACAAGTAAAAAGAGAGATGCAATCAAGAACAGAAACTAATGACGATGGAATTAATCAAGATCTCTGAGGTCAAAGTGAGCTTTAAAAATTTTCACATTGAAGACCTCTGCAATTTTCAAATTTCGAGATGATCAACCAAATAAAGAGAGACTTAAAAAGGCTCAGATTTTAGGTTGATTGAGAGAGAGAGAAATCAAGAGAACAACCAACATAAGGAGACCCAAAAACCAAAGATTTGAAATTTAGAGAGAGAAGGGGACATGAGAATGTTCATGGTGGGAAGGGAATGTCTTCTCCTGGTTACAGAACTGCCAGATTTTCTGTACGGCTTAGACACAAAAAGGAGAGAGAGAGAGAGAGAGAGAGACCACGGACCACTATACAGGGGAGGGTGTTCAATCCAAAAACACTAGAGCTCTTTATGTAAACACAGTCTCCTTTGAATCCTTGTGAGATTTTCACCGTCTGATTAAACAGTAATCTTGACCGTATATACTTCACTACTTCGTTTTAATTAATAACTATCCTATTTAGACCTAATTCATTAGGATCATTGAATTAAATCAAACATTGAAAAAATTAGTATTAATTTAACAATCACTATGATTCTTATTATATTTTTGTGTTATTAAAATTAGTATTAAATTTTTGTGTTATTATCATTGATAGTAAATATATTTCTCTTCTTCTTCTCTAAATTATCAATCATTAACGTTCAAAAAAAATCAAAGCTATCATTCTTATTATTCTCCGATAAACACGAAAAACTCAATCATATCGTACTTCTTCTTCTACAACGTTTTATATATCATCAGGTTAAACTTATGTTTTCTTTCATTTTTTTTTTATTTTTTGTTCGTTCCATAGACTGCTCGATAGTTTTGGATTTTTTTTCTTCACTTTTTTCACATCCGTTTCTACTTATTATGTTGAGTGATCACTTTTTGGTTAATTTTTCATCTTTCAAATGATTATTTGTTAATTTTAATATTTTTGCGTTTTATGAATTTTTTTTACAGTTTTTTTTTTAATATTGAATACTACAATAATGGTTGTTTGAATTCTAAATTGGGTATCATCTTCTTTTGTATGTTGTTTTTATGGTAGTTTATATGAGACTAACAGATGCTATGAAATTATAATTTAAAAATGTATCAATACAATGTGACACTAAAATGTTTATCTATACTCTATACAACTAATAAAAGTATCTTAGCATGAGAATTTTTGATTTATTATTTTGCCCTTGTAAAAAACTATAAAGACTAACAAGTCCTTTTGTATTTAAATATATAAATTATTATTATATCCCTCTGTAAACAAATAACAAACTAATCTATAACAAGAAAGAAAAAAAGGATACAAAGTTGAGAAAAAAAAATTTATAACTCATACTATTTGGTAGCTCGTATAAAAGAGACACAAAAAATGAGTCCATTAAATTTTTATAGTTATGAAGAGAATACAAATAATTTAAGTATTATAAATATGAGATAATATCTAATTTAACTACGAATTAGATTTTTTAATGTATTTTATTAAATATTTCAACAAAAATTTTCAGGTGTAACGCACGTGATGCATTGTTAGAGTTAAAAAGAACTTAAAAGTCAAATGAATATAAAACATAAAAATTGGATGAAAGCAATTTGTGGGTATTATTGATTTTATAATAATAATTAAGAATAATAAAAATTATAGGTGCCGACATTTATATTAGGAATAGGGTTAGTTTGTCTTATTATATTAGGAATAGGATTAGTTTGTCTTATTATATTAGGAATAGGATTAGTTTGTCTTATCAAGATTTCTTATAAAGGCAGAGCTAGCTTCGGGACTTTGTCAAATCTTATAGCACTTTGTTCAACTCTTATAAAGCCTCCCGCCATCCCGTATTCCAAAACCATCAACCCCCGACTCTCTCTCTAAAAGGAACACTTTTTTTTTCATCGACTTAGCTTTCTTAGGTATACCATATTCAATCACTTTTGCGAGCTTTAGCTTCTCCGATTTTGATATTTAATATCACGTACTTGTTGAAGAAGAAACTTCTCTGCACCTTAAAGTTGATTCTGCCTCAAATTTCACATTCGTCGGGTATGTAATATGGATAATTGAATATACCTTTTCAATCATCATTAGTACAATGATTTATTTGTTTATCTGCTATTATTTTGATACTTAGATGTCATTGAAATTCAATAGGCTGATTAGACTTTATTTGTGTGTGTGTGGGTGTGTGTGAATATTTGTATTGCTAGGTATACATGTATGTGTGTATATAGATATATACGGACACATATATATATTTATTTTATATGGGTGTGCATGATGGGAAATATGATTGGTGTCCCTTAATTAGAATTTGTTTCTGAATTTTTGATGTTCTGAATCGGAATTTTTTTAAAAAAAAATTTCACCGATTTTGTTATCAGTGGGAAGAATAGATAAAGGTGTACGGTGGCCCCTGCCCTTTGTTCCCTCCACCACTGATGTCAGCCATAGAAAGTGAATTACCTCACTTCGTTGTTTCTTTTGTATCAATAACCCACCAAGTTTTCGGGCTCTGCGCTCAAAATTCTTTGGGGATATGTAAATAAGCTCAAAATTCTTTGGGGATATGTAAATAAATTACATGGATTATGCCTACATATAAGTGTATATTTTAGGATAAATCACACTTACACCACTCAACTATTACCCCTTGTTACTTTATCCCCTCAATTGCCAATTTTTTTACGTTGTACCCTTTACTATGTAATTTTTCGTGTTGCCCTAATTATTAACGTCTGTTATTTATTTAATGAAAATTCATTTTTTGTCTCCTAAACCATGCAATTTTTATCACTTTACTCTGACGCATTAACGATTTCTATCCAAAAAGATAACAAACGTTTGTAATTAAGGCCATGTGACATGAAAGTGTTAGTTTAGAGTGTAATATGAGAACTCTGGTAGTTGAGAGGCTAAAGTGAAAAATGATGATAATTTAGGCAGTGTATGTGTAATTTATCCTATATTTTAATTTTTCTAAATGATAGCTTTGACCATCTATCTAATATTAAATTAAATTCTTAACTTATAAAAATTCAACAATGTTCAAGATTATTTCCAAAAATATAAGAATTATCCCTTTTTTTTTTGTGTAATTTGACTTCGAAAGTTTTTATTTTGAACCACAAATATAATTAACTTTAGTTTTTACCTTCTTCACTATCAAACTCAAATCCTAAAAGAAAACACATAACGAAACCCCCCCGGCCCCCTCCTTTAAAAGATTAATTTTATCTGAACTCATAATTTATTTTTGTACAATTGTAGTCTAACAAGATGGGGTCAATAATTCCAGAGAAAATAGATTAAATGAAGTTAGTTTCTAGTGGACCTAATGGTGCAAATTGATGAAAAGACTTAATTGAACAAAATTGATAGCCAATGATTTTCAAGAATGAAATAATGTTTTCTTGCAATTCCGTGATTTATTTCAAAGCTGGTGAAGTCAACAAAAGACTTTTTTTATGGGAGATCATGCTGATCAGGTATGTGTGTGTGTGCGAGAGAGCGAGAGATAGAGACAGAGAGGGGGCATTTAGATTTTTTTTAAAAATCTAAAAAACTAAAAACATTTTCTATTATCTTAAGCAATTATTTCTCAACAAGGTGATGAATGACGTCATTTAGAATTTGCAACCAAATAAAAGATGATTTTTGTGTGGGACTCAAAGATTGTTAAACATTGAAAGAAATTAGTAAAAGATTGTGAGACCCATTACAAGTAGATTTTTTCTTTAGTCTGCTTGTGGCCTACTTGGATTAGGCATATGATGAGGAGAGGGTATATTTGAATTGCTATGTTTTTACTAAGTTTGTGGAATTGTTTGCATTTGGTAACAAATGTTGATATTCTATGTTCAATTTTTAGGAATGTTTGGCCCATGGTATCAAAAACCTTTTATTCATTCTCTTTTTTTTTTTTCTATTTTTCAATTTTTTTGTATGGGGAGGGAAGGGGAGCGGGAGCAGGACTTGAACCTTTGATCTCAAGAATACAGAGCATTCACAAGATAAAAAGTATCATTAGACCAAAGATTTATTGGTCTATAATATCAAAAACTAGTACACTGTTTAAATTATGAATCTAGGATCTTTCAAATATTTTTATTTTTATGTTTACAATTTTTATTTTGTCAATTTCAGAAATAATGAAATACTATTTTGGGATGATTGATTATAATTTTGTCAATTTTTTTTTTGGTTATTTTAAACCCAATTTATTTCAATTGATATTGAAACTACTATACTAGATTTTTTGTTCGAATTAAGGAGGAATGAACGAAAATATTCCAAGGAAAAGAAATGAAGACGGTTGTTGGTTTTCAATAATTTTGCTAAATACGGTTTTGTATTGGATTGCATTGGATACATGGGTGGAAGTTTTATCACTTTCAATTTAATATCCTACACTACTATCAAATCCGAACATGATTTGATATTACAAGTATATATTTATGTCTTGTCCTAATTTTGATCTAAACTTAGTATACAAAGAATATGATCAAATAGTATTCTTATTAATATCTTTTGTATAGATAAGATGAAAACACAATTATGTTACTCAATTCTTTACTTTATATCCGAACCAAAACTGGTCTTTAGTTTTTGTTTTGTAAAAAAATTAGGATTTTTTATTTTATTTTATTTAGAATTGAGGCACATTAGAAAAGACTATTTTTTTATCGAGATCTAAGCGAGAAAGTTTGCCTTTGGGTGGGGGCCAAACACTGTCTGGGACATGCCTTTTCCTGTCTACTAATTGATCTAGTCGGTCAATTATCTATAGACGGCGCAAATTCAAAGGCCAACCACCTATAAATTGGGAATTA